CAGAGGCAGAGCCACAGAGAGCACTCAGACGTCAGAACATGTGTAGGTGGAGGTGGTTGGTGTTGTTATGTTGGTGTTCCTTCTTTCTTTGAGGGCCAACGAGCTGGGGAATTTGGAGGATTAAGGACTGTGGTGTAATAGGTTTTGTTTTCTAACTTTTTGTTTCTAAATTTAAATATATTATAATATTATATTTATATATAATAATATTATAATATAAAAAAATAGACCAGTCAGTTATTTGGTCAGTTTCGGCTCTCAAATTGGGGAACCAGCATCGAACCTGTTATTCGATTCCCTAATTGGTTGGACTGAAAAAAAACGGCTTAACTGAACCAGTCTCTCTAACTGGTTCGGTTTGAACCGGTTTTATCAGTCTAGTTCAGTTGTGCACACCCTTAATGATAATGTTGTTCTGAATCAACTGCACTTTTTGTTGTTTTTAGTAAAAAGTAACTATTATGTGCTAAATGTTATATTTTTGTTTGTTCCATAAAATGCGATCTTCAGATGGGTTTACTCTTTATTGTACATGTTGATTTGTTCAAAACTAAATTTGTGTCGTTAACCTGCAGATGTTGCAGGAAGTGGAAGTCCTGTCATCTCCAAGTCCTTGACAGTTAGTTTATGCACTTGAGAAAATTCCCTTCTTCTTATGTTTTCACTGAGTCCTTACAACTGTTTAATCCAATAAGAAAATTCCCATTGCCCTTACCTCCGAAAAAGGGACTCAAGATGCAGATGACTGCTTCTCAAAATGATTCCATTATTGGCTAAATGATGCCCATATAGTAAGCCTATCTGTCTAGATTTGAAAAGCCAATTTTTCTGGATCATGTCTGCACTTCTAAGTAATTTTCATTTAAATGGAGCTTAGCTCTGCTAATAGGATATCTTTCATGGTTTTCTGAAGTAAATAAAAGAAAGTTGAGATAACGTACATTTTTATGCTAAAGAAAATAAGGTGGGTAGCAGATACTTGAGTAAATCTTTTTTTAAAAATAAAAAGTATGGTATGATTCGTCCACAAGCACTAAGCGGATGCTGATCTATGTACAAAAATATTTACATGTCAATCAAAATATTAGTAAGATTTCTGAAATTTTCTATTGAATAAAGAGGATGACCCATTAATAAAAAATTTATGGTCTGGAACCACCTATCTCTAATCCTATCAAAGTCATCTTTCACCCTCTCAAAAGCTCTCTTGTTTCTCTTTTTCTTCACCACCGGAAAAATAGTAAGGGGAATGAGACTAAGGTGTTTCTTTGGTATCTGAGGAAATTTTAAAAATTCATGTGTTGTCATCTGGCCCATATATATCTTAAAGAGTGGTGAATATTTTATTGCAAATTCACCCAAAGGTCTGACTAACAGTCCTCTCATGACCTAACCAACTTCAACCATATTCCTGTTGACAGTTATTTATTTTCCACATAGGAGAACAAAGTTTTGAAATCATATTCATGTCTGGTTCTATAACTTAAGTTGTTAACTATTCAGCTTGGCGTATTACTTCGCAGTTGAAAGTAATTTTTGCTACTTGTATAATAATCATTCTATTGATCATGTTATGCAGCATGTCTCTTGAGCTTTTCTTTTTCTAGGATATTGAAATTGATTCTTTTCCTTTTATCATTTGGAAATTGGACTTTGAGGATTTTGGGTATTCTGCTCTATGACCTGCCTATTGTGTGAATGGACTCTCTACTCCTAGCAGTGCTAATCCTGGAGGCTGACTGAGCAACAGATTCGGGATGCCACCTTAGCTAACTATTTAATGTTCTTTTTCAAAAAAAAAAAAAAGCTAACTATTTAATGTTAGTTTTCCTTTATAGGGCGTATGAAAAGTATGATGGAGAAAAGCTTATAGGTATCTTTTATTCGGGAGAAAAGAAATCATTTTACTAATTCCTCAGGAATCTTTGAATTAGTTCCATGAAACTAACTTGCGATGTTCGTTGATATGTTATGTAACCTCTTATCTTTGGCTGCTTCATCTGTTTCCTATTTTGCTTATTATTTATGATTTTTTCTTTGCCATGCATGCAAAGACTTGAAAGACATTCAAAGAAAAGATTCCATGCATTTGATTTGTCATAAATTTTCATCACGAGGTTAGAGAATGGAATTCTGTTATTTCTACAATTTCCTTCATGTGATTCATGGGGGAAAACTTGTCGGTAAATCCCTTAACATTTATGTAATCCAATTAGAATTACACACTTTCTCCACCCTAGAAAAGGAGACTAGAGATGCAGGGTACTGCTTCCTGTCATGTTGACATATGTTCCATATGTGTATTTACTTGGCATTTGCAGTGGAATCGGACCTCAGAGTATTCTTTTATGCTTGGCTATCTGTGGTTATTTATAGATGGTGGAATGTTTGTTCGACGGAGACACATGATTATAGCATGCAGGAGATTGTTGTGATTAGGGTTTTGTTTGGAACAAATGGATTATTTTATGGAGTTTATTATAAACCTGGAAATATTTTCTATTTTATATTTCTTAAATTGAGATTGTTTTATACATAAAAGCATTTAAGTTGGTTAGCAATGAAGAGGTGTTAGAGAAGATGAGGATGAAGTTTAAAAGTTTAAAATGCTGTTTTTAGTGTTTTCGAAGGAAATAACCTTTATGTATACTTTATTACTCTTCAAACACACACACCCAGGTACTTTCATGGATAAGAATAGCCATGAATATATATGTGTGTGTGTGTGTGTGTGTGTGTGTGTGAAATTGGAAACATAGTGTAAATTTTGTGAAGTCATTTTTGCTTAGCATATCTAAATAGTTTACTTCTCTATTAAATCATCATAATTCATTTCTAAATTCAATAAATTCCGATGAAATTTGGAACGCGTTGTTCCAATTTCACTTAGGCTATTTTTGTACCAAATTCCTGGTTTTTGTGGAATTTGTAACTGAATCTACATATAGTTCAATTGTAAGATATGGAAAATGATAAAAACTGACCCAATGTAAAATTCCTTGTAGAATTGAAAAAATGTTTCAAAATTTCATCAGCTTATTCACTGTTCTAGTTCTAAATGAAATTCCATGAGGTTAATTTTTACCATCTTCTAAAGAATTTACATACTCTCCTGGTTGAACTTAGTTTTGATTTGCATATGAATTTCACAAAATTTTTAGATTTATTCTAAACATAGCCTTGAAATTTATTTAGAATTGAATCTTTCATGTTGGAAGAAGCAATTGCATGAGCAGTGCTCTGTAGACCATATGCAGTGTTCTTGTAACATCTGATATGTATGAAATACAAATTAGAGTTGTTTAGATACTTTGGTTCAGCCATCAATGAGTTAAAAGCTCAAAAAACGTGATCCTTGAATCCTTCTGCTGAAAGTTGCATATACTGTTGCTGCGTGATATCTCAGAATGCTTGCATAGTTTATAATAACATTGGGTTCTTGACATGCCTTCGTTTCTCAATAGTTTTTCCCGAAGAAAATAGGTTCGCCACGGAAGATTGAGATTATGTTCATTGCCCCTACCGGCGAGGAGATCAGTAACAGGAAACAGTTGGAGCAGTATCTGAAATCTCACCCTGGCAATCCTGCAATATCAGAGTTTGATTGGGGTACTGGTGAGACCCCGAGGAGGTCAGCAAGAATCAGTGAAAAGATAAAGGCAACTCCAACACCAGAAAAGGAGCCTCCTAAGAAGCGAGGCCGGAGATCAGCTTCCAAGAAGGAGAATAAAGAAACAGAAGCTGCTCCTGGACAAGCTGAGAATGAAGGGGAAATTCAAATGCAAGATAAGGAGACAACTGAGAAGAAAGAAGCAGGAGATCATAAGGAAAAAGATATCTCCAAGGAAAACCAGGTCGAGAATGGAGGTAAAGCCCAAGAAGCTGATCGAAGCAAGGATGTGGATGCTCACATGGAAGAAGCTGATCAAGAAGAAAGTGTCAAGGAGATTAAGCTTCAAGAACGACCTGAGCAAACTGAGAATGTTACTGATGAAAAAGGAGCTGCTGGCACTGAAACTAAGGTTATCCAAGAAGAAAGTGTGAAAGATATTAAGCTCCAAGATGGTCCTGAACAGACTGAGAATGTTGCTGGTGAAAAAGAAGCAACTGGCCCAGAAATTCCAAGTACAAAGGAAGGTCAAGTTGCAGTAGTGGCAGTGGAGAAGAAACAGGCTGAAGAAAGTGGTGCTGTTGAAACAACTTCAAGTGAGAAAGAGAAAGTAGAAGACTCTGCGGAGAAGCTGTCACAGACCAAGTCAGGAAAAGAAAATGGCAGTAGCGATAGGAAACTGGATAATCCAGAATCAGTGACTGTTGAAGCAAATGGTGAAGAGAAGAACCCGGATATTGATGACGCACAGAAGAACGATGAGAAGTCTGATGGTCAGGGTGAGGAAAAAGGTAAGAAACCGAACGGAGAGTTCATTGAGAATGGAAAGATTAATCAAATGGAGCATACTGATGCACCACAACAGCCAGGTTCCTCTTCTGTAACCTGCTGAATGTATTATCTAGTGCCTGTAGACCTGACTTTGAATACCCGTTACCTTGTATTTTTGTTCCCTGTAACTTTATGGTTCCATGGATGACTGTAACATTGATGTTGTGGTAGATTTGATTGTATGTAGGGAAAATTAATCTG